TTCTCACGTGCACATGATCAGCTGTGATGGTTCCTAAAGTGGGCCAGCAAGAAAGCCAGAGAGGGACTTTTTACAAGGGCATGTCATGATAAGACAAGGGCAAATGGCTCTAAACTGAAAGAGGATAGGTTTAGATTAGATATTATGAAAAAATTCTTTACTGTGAGGGTAGTGAGACACTGGAACAGGTTGTCCAGAAAAGTTGTGGATTCCTGTAAGTATTTGAGACCGAGTTGGATTGGGCTTCAAGCAACCTCGTCTAGTGGAAGGTGTCCCTGCCCATGGCAGGGGCCTTGCAACTAGATGATCTTTAAGATCCAACACAAACCATTCCATGATTCTGTGGTGTTGGACCACGGGCACGAGGCACTAGCAATTTGGCCAGTGTCTCAGCGTGGGACTGTGATACCTGGTGCTGATTGCACAGGTAATGTGTGTGCCTGGCTCTGCCTAGGGCTGTGCCAGGCTGTGCCGCAGGGTCCTCAACAGCTGTAATTGGTGTTTACTCATCCAAGAGAGGCTAAGATCGGGGATAACACCAAGTCTGTGGGACTGTACATTTTGAGAGAGAAAAGGTGCTCCTAGGAAAAGGGTACTGTACATTCATTTTTCTGAAAATACACCCAGGAATTCAACATATCTGTGAAGGCACCCAAAAGAGAGGAATTTTGTACAAGACTATGGAGATTTCCAAAAGAGCTGGACAACCATAATTGTTCTTGGTCTGTATATTTCATTTACATAACTTCATTGAAATGTCCTAGGCTTTAAAAAAAAAACAAACAAAAAACAAAAAACTAACATATTATCTGCCACTATCATATATATTCAAATAAACAAACAAACTGCTATTGTACAGGAGGATGATAATGCCAGGAACTAACATCTTCCTTCTACTCCATTTATCTCAGTAATGCACTCTTAGTCTGGAGACTGTGATATTGAGTATTGTCAGGTTGGGTTTCCACTAATTAATGAAAAACAGGCTGCAAGCACAAAGGATTAATTTGGCCTATTCACTCTGATCACAAACATTTTGAGAATCTGTTTAGCTTTTTTTGAATGATGTGAAGTAAACCAAGGGAAAAAACATCTTGTTTCAGCTAGCTAGCCAGAAAAGAAACCCACATGGATTTACCTAATGGGGTCAAAGCTAAGAGAAACAGAGCATTGTTCCCAGGAGTTAGACAAGGCAGTTATCTTATGGAGAAGGCTTGTTCTGAGGCTCTATAAAATTTAGAGCTCCTAAATAATCCTGTGAATTTAAGAAGGGAGCTTTGCTCTGCCTTCAGAGGGAGTTTTGCACTATCATTATCAGGTGGATCTAACAACAACTCCTGTGCTTTCTGGCAGCCACAGGCCCTTTTACAAGGGTAAAACGGTTTTGCCATCAGGGTTTTGAAACATCCGAGTCAAGTTCTCAGCTGGTGAAATCACTGTACTTGGTCAGTGAAGAGCCTGGCAACCTATACTCAGGTCCTACTTGTGCAGTGTTGAGTGTCTTTGATTAAACTATAATCAGAAATTAGCAAGAACATAATTGGCACGTGTGTTACTGCAAAACACACGTAAAACAATTCTGCTAGGCGTAGGCTGTAAATATGTACCTAGGCTGGTGTGCTAGCAACGAGCTACTTGCTTGCTCCTAGGACTTAATTACATGTTACGCCGATCGATGAAAGGTTAAAACAGCTGAATCAATATTTTATTGCAGTTCTGAAAACTGTAGTTATAGCATATTAGACTACGAGTGGCTGACAAGTTTAAAAGCCTGTAACTGAATCAAAGTCTGAGTAACTGTTGTATGTGCAATTTAGAAACAGTTAATACATTCCAATTGAGAGGATTTGTTTCTAATTAATATAAAAGCTGTTTATTTAAATCCTAGGCAGGCAGTATTTAAATACACAACAAGTCACCTGGGAATTCCATCTAAACCACTTTGTGGAAAGCTGTTATGTTGTGCTGAAATAAATCCAGCATGAAGTAACTGTATTCTCTTCATTCAGAGTGTAGAGCTGTTCTCTGCATGCTGTTTTCTTTTTTTCTTCTTCTTCCTGAATATGCTAAAATATCCTTGGCCTTGTTCCTGATTAAGGAATGATGTAATTTGCAACGTTGCTGCCGTTTTCTCTGCTTTTATTGCCTGCATATCGTCGATCACCCATTAGCAGCACTTGTTTTGAAGAGGTATCATGTATGTACAAAATGAAAGTCCTGGCAAAGGGAACACACACTATCAATAAGATGGAGATGTGCATGAAGATATGTTGAGTGATAACCAACAACATTTTCAGAGTTAACAAATACTACTTTTTAGAACTCCTAGTAAACTTGAGATCGTGGCTTTGTTTTCTTGATGGGGCTTTTCAAATCGCCTTATTAAGATATTTTTAATATTTTTGTGAGGTTTGAAGGGGTTACAGGTAATGAGGATAGTAGCATCAAAAGGTCTTATAGCCCCATCAGCAGAACAGTTGCTGATTTCTTTCTTTTTAATTTTTTAAATTATTTTGTTTTTTTCTCCTTGCTTGAAAGAGTGGGGTGGAAAAGATAATGTTTTGATTAAAAAGACCAAAACAAACACTAAGTTAAGAGTATTTTTTGCATCACCAGGAGAGAAAGAGTATGAAAAAACTTCACAATTTCATGCTAGTCTGTCTCTCACCAGCAGTACATTCCCGTCACTAATTTTCACCAGACAGCTTCATTTTCTCCCCTCCACTTTTCCCCCCATTTCATCTAACTTTTCTATCCTCTATATATGTGCATTGTGCTGACAATGAGACCTGCAGCTTACTGCAGATCATATCAAAGAAAAAGGCAACAGCACCATGAAAGGTGGTGTTGGTAATTCTGCGCTTCACCTGCAGTTCCTACAGTAGGTTTGAATTTTAGCAGTTTCCTAATTGGTGGTGGAGGTGGGGAGCTGGATGGCTGGGCTAGATTTGGGCAGGTTTTGTTGAGTTGGGTCTGTGTAAGAGTCAGCAAAGATCAGTTCACTTACTGTCTCATTTTTATCCTGTCCATCATATGGTGAACAAGTTTGTCCCTTGCAAACTTGCAGAAGGCAATGACTTTATTCCATTTTCACCTGGCATAGTTGTAAAATCCACCTCAGATAACTTTCCCTGCTTCTTAGTTGTGTGTTAATGAGGTGTTTACTGAGTATTTCTTCCTCCACAGACCTCCAGTCCACTCAGCCGAGCTCAGACTCCAGCACTGCTTGCCCAGTGCCACCCACTCTTAGTCCAGGGATGCCTGCCTTGCAGGAAAGCGAGAGTGATGTAAACAGGGGTTTAGCCAGCAGGTCTTTCTATGGAATGCATCATATTCCTTTGAAAGTAATAAACAAACCAGCAGGTTAACTATGGAGCTCTATTTCTGCAGGGATTCCCTTCCACAGATGGTTTCCTTGGAGTGTTTTGTGGCACCTCTGCAAAGTACAGCTTTAAAATGTCTCAGGAGAGTAAAGTCTGGTATTTCTATCAGTAGGGAGGAATGACATCATATCAGGACTGGGGAGCAAGGAATGTTTGCCATGTAGACAGTTGTAATTTACAGGCAATAAATGAATAAATTTAGATAACAGAAGAACGAGGCCAACCCTCATCTGTCTTTTTTTTTCCCCCGCATAAGAGAAGTTGCACTGCCTCCTAACAAACTTGCTTCTGCACATCTCTGCCTTCTCCTGTCTGCTGTGCCTCTTGACTGCTGCCTCACGCTGTGTATTTTAGGATGCATGTGTCACTAAACATGTGAAAGTAACTTCCCATAAAAATGATAAATCCCACTGTAAACTGAGGGCCAATCTCTGCACGAAAAGCTTATGGATTTTGACTACTGAATGAAAGAAAAGCAAAACAAAAGTAGCTTTAAGGGTGCCTTGGCTCTAATCACAAGCTGGGTGGCTGATGGCATGAGGGTTATTGGGAAGTCAGATGCTGTCTATCTTCAGCAACAGGTCCTCTGTAAACCACAGGTGCATCATGTCGGGTTAGGCCATTTCAGGTTGGGCTGCATGCCTTCAGGTGCATCCAGAAGAAATCACTGTCAGTGATCAAATATTGATATATTGTCAAACCCACTGATGTTAATGTAATTTGAGTCATTTATGAGTCTTTACTTAGCAGAGACTTAGAACTACAGTAACTTAGAGCCTGAATTGTCTCTGTGCCTGAAGAGCAGGTGGCCAGTCAATGTTCAGGTGGGGATTATTGCTGCCGACAGTGTTAGAAAGCTTGCTTTGCACCTGCCTCCTCCTCATAACAAGCACACAGATAAAAAGAGTCCGATTCCCTGGCACTGCCAACCAAATCCTCCAATCTTTCAAAAACAAATACTCAACCGTGACTGTAAAATAAAATAGAAAATAAAAGTTACCACTACCTTCTATTGCCTGTTGATTGACCTGAGCACTCTCCAATAGCAAACATAAAAGATTAGATACCACTTTCCATACAGGTGTATGCAAACCATTTTTTGTCTTACCAGGAGACTGAATTGTTCAAAGTTCTGGAAAATGTCTGCGTGCAGTTTTACAAGTATACTTAGCAAAAGGAAGGCATTGACTTATGCTTTCAAAGGTGGTGATTTACAATGTCCTGTATAGTGTTTCCAAAATCAAGAGTTTTGTTTAAGCTTAGCATAATGTACTGAAAGGAGATTTCTGATGCAGTGTGTGTGTTTACAGTGCAAATACAGGGCCAGGATTTTTAGAAATTAATTACTCAAAATGCTCTTACAGAAGAAAGAGCCAGCCCTACAAGGGATGGGCCAGAAGGGTCTTCTCCTTCTTAGAGACTGATGTAAGCCAAGAGAAACTTCAAAAAGAGTAGGTTTCCTGTGGTGAAGTCAGTCTTGGAGGGGATGGGGGCATCTCTGAAGACACAATTTCTGCTTGGAGGAGATGGACAGCATCCTTGACTGTTATAATGGCTTTGAATCCCAAGTTCACTGATTGTCTTTACTAAAAAAAGCTATTATTTTCTTTCTTAAAGGAGAGAGATGGAGAGAGAAGGAATCTGAATTTCTGGCAAGAGAAAGAATCCCAAAACTTAGGAGCACTGCTGAAAACTGCTCATGAAAATTTTAAGATCAATTTTCAACAAGCAGTGGTAATTTCTTTCATTAAATACTGTTCTATATCCTTCATAAAAAAAGCCAAACAATGATTTCTGACTTGTTTCTTAAATATTTTTCTATTCCCCAAAATATGGGGTTCCTCAATTTCTCCTTCAGTGCTACTGAAAGCAGCCTTTTGCAAGAATTAGAGATTAAATTTTTGTCCCATAGTGGTGGGTTGCCATTGAACAGATATCACTTCTGGTGAATTGCAGGGACAGAGAAACTTTACTTGGACAAATAAGGCTTTCTAAACTGGCACTGAAGAATTAAGCAAAAATGATGGACTTACCTTCAGCCCTCAGCATCAAGGGGAAATGACATAATTTTTTAATAAGTGAGGATCCTGCAAGAAAAGGCCCGCCTTTGCAGTAGTTACCTCAGCATGGAGAAGATGTAAATTCATCCCTCTTATCTCTGCAAAAATAAGTTATTTCAGAATCCAACTGTCCTGGTCTGAAAGGATTTATTCATCCAACAGCTGAGACAAAAAAAAACCTAAGTTGACATTTCTGCCTGGCTTTTTAGCTCGTTGAGACTGTTAGTTGGCTGCTGCTGCTGGGATCTGTATCCTTGAGGCTACTTAAAATCAAAGATAAGATTTTCCTTTTCTTCGCCAGTGTGTTCACACAGTGTCCTAAGATACAGAGCAGCCACTGAGAAGATGCTGTGTTTTAGTTGCTGACATGTTTCAGGGCATGGCTTGCAATGGTCAGAGCACAGTGGGAAATGACTGAACTCGTGGTGAACACAAGGTTGTTAGGGCCACACTGCTTGATGAGGGTCTCCATGTGAACGTTCTCAAGGCCTGACAGACCATACATCTGGACAGATGTGGGGTGGGTCTGGGCCAGGTGTGAGCTCTGAAGAGCTGGAACTGGCTCTCCCATGTTTGCCTGGCTCTGTGCAGCTGCCATGCATCCATGTGGGGATAAGGTGAGTGGGCAACACACACCACCATCACAGCTAGTGTGGCAAACACTTTTACATACAATATAAACAAGAAAGTTGATCTGGTCCTATTTTTCAGATTTATTTCAGATGGCTCTACCTAAAATTGCATTTCCTCTCTTTCATGTAGTCACTTCCTATCTTACTTTGGGGAACAATATTCCTAATACTTTACTGGACATTAACCCCGAAAGGATTCACCTTTTTCCCACAATCACTTTGAAAATGTTTTTCTATGTTTATTCCTTTTGTAGAAAGTTTCTTGACTAATGATTTGGACTGGAAGATGATAATTTTTCTTTAAAGGCCTTCATACTTCTTCATCTCACTATTTTCCTTTCAGTGAGCTCTACAAATCACAACTGCCCACCCACCCTTAAAAGGAAAGGGTTAAGGTCTCTTCTGGAGTTCATTATAGGATCTGTATTCAGGAATGCCAAAACTTCAAAACTGAAATACATTTGCTATGTGATGACCAACTGTGAGCTTTAGCCCATACTGTTGTGGTGGTGTGTTTTACCTTGTACACAGCGTCTACACTGTAGGCCACTGTTAGCACCGGTCAGAAAAATGACTTTATTTTTTGTGATTATGATGCTTTAATTTCTAGTTTTCTAGGATTTTCTAGGTAGGAATAGATTGGCTCAAATCACAGAAGGCTTTTTCCACTCTTCAGGCTGTAATATTCAGGGTGTTCAGTCCCAGCCAGGGGGTTCAAACTGTAACTGAGTGCCGTACTTATCAGGCTGCATAGGATCTGTACTCATTTCTTGGACATGTCAGAGTCTGCATCACTAACCAGCTACTCACCAGAGCAGAGTGATGCTGACCTCCAAGTATGTTTGTGCATCTGCTCTTTGCCTATGGGAAGTGTGTGTTCAATTTTCCTTTCTGAGAATGCAGATCAGAGGTCTTCCTCTTCAGTTTCTTATGTTTCTGCTGAACATCCCAACCCTGTACTAGTCCAAAGTGTCTCTGCATCAGCAGGCAGAGGCTGGAGGCCTTACTGCACTGTGTCGCCCTGTGCTGCAGCAGAGGAGGAGATAAGCTGCTTAAGGGATTCGGCTACTGCAAACTTGCTTCCTCTCTGAGCAAATGCCAACTTGGGTTTTTCAAGCACATGCTGCATCCCTTGCTGCTCTGTTCCAAACTGCCTGCATTCAGCCTTTGTGGGGATGCCATGAACTAGACCCAAATGGTGGGTGACAACCACAAGTCTGAAAATAAAAATGCAATAATACATTACAGTACTGTATGCAGTATCTAGTACTATGTGTGTCATGGAGGATGATTGCAAAGCAATCCAAAAAGTTAGGATTGGTAATAAATTATAGTGTCTTTCCCTGTCTAACACCATACATCAAAAAACAACCAGAAAGCACAAAGGGGGAGGGACAGAGGAGTGTTTTCTACTCTGCATGCTTGGCTGAGTCTCAGGCAGGGTGAGAGAGATCATGGCTGCATCGTGAGGGAGTTCAGTGAAAAGACATCCTGTTGGCTCTGAACTTGCTAGTTCAAGGCTGTGCATGTGTTGACAGAATGCTGAGCCCAAGCAAATACTCCTGGCTGAGAGAAAAAGCCTGTGTGTGTGTGTCAGGCTGATAAAACTGCTGATCCTGCTGTAAGTGTGTCTCATGGCAGTGTGCTCCCCCACAGGGAGGTACAGCCCCTATGGGCACTGCACTCCTGTGGGCTCTGTCCCTATTTCCAACTGACAGGAAGGGGCAGTTCACTTCTTACAGAAGGGTGGCTGCAAAGCTTCCTTTCTCCCACCTGGTGGCCACTCAAACTGTCAGATCTGTTACAGCTGTGAAGGGGTTGTATCTGCCACATATACACCCGTATTTCTCGTGAGCATTGCTAATTCAAGAGATTCTGGAGGTGTTTATGGATGGCAGAACACCACAGAGCACTGTGAGGGGTCTCATGGTCATTGGACAAAATCTATGCTCTTCACAGTCCATTCAGAGACTCAGAACACCCTTTCTCTTAGACATATTTTAAAAGTCCCAAAGGATTGACCAGACACAGAATCTGAGAATCAGAGTTTAACTGGGTGTTTAGTCCCACATCCCTTGTCCTACAAATCTCAAGGCTTGGATGGCTGAATACTGCTGTGTAGCATCCAAAATCGGTTTCTTCTTGGTGCTATGAAAGGTGGTGTTGATATAGAAAGGAGTGTCTGTATAGTTGATCAATAAAAATATTATCAGGGTACTTGATTTTGAAGATGACAGAATAAACATTTCACCTAAACTCTGTGAACCTTGCACTACATCTAGATCAATGCAGTATTAGCACAGCCTACAGCCAGTCACTCTCTGTGTGCTGATGTCTCTCAGATCTGCCTGCCAGTCATGGAGCTAATTTCTACACATAGACTGTATATCATCCTTCTAACACATATGAATCTGCTTTTCTGACCATCACCAGAAGGCTCAGCTCACTTAATCTTGCTGCTGAAACAGCCTCTTTTTGGCCCAAGTAATGAGCACTAAGACTTGTTGAAGTCCAGCCCTTGTGTCCTGATAATGCCAAGTGCCACTATATGTTCAGCAAGAACCACAGCCACATTCAGCTGAAAGCTAGGAGTATCATCTCAGCCAGACCATCACTTCTGAAGTCTTCACTGGCTAAGGGAAAAGCTATTTTGTGGCTTCATGCTGGAGCATAAGGAGATGCACTGTTGTTATGGCTTTTATCGCGGTGCTGCACACAAGGTATTAGAAATGTACATGAGAACACATGACCATTGCAGGGAAAATACCTGTGCCTTTGCTGCCCTGAGGCGCAGTGTGGAAATAAAGTTCTTCTTGATGTGCTTAGCTGGAGGAATGGTTTCAAGGTATGTATGTTTCCTCAGCGTTTAAACCAGGTGATTCTAAAAATGTTCCCTTTGAAACCAAAGGGACTCGGCAGGGATTTTGTCTCGTGCATTTTGCTGAGAAATGGAAGCGTTTCCAGAGTGACTTTGCCTCTCAGTGCCAGAAGAATTCACATGCTTTTTAAGCACGGTTGCAAGCCCACGGATGAGAGGGCCCTGCGGAGCCAGCGGGGCGGGCCGGGCCGGGCCGGGCGCTGTCCGTGGTGCTGCCCCGGCAGCGGCGCGGGGGTGCCCGTGTGCGGGGGCGTGCGGGAGTGTGTGTCTGTGCACGCGTGTGTGGGGGCATGTAAGACTGTGAATGGGTGTATAGGTGCGTGCATGTGCGGTCGCGTGTGTGGTCATGTGCAAAGGTGCACTTTGGGCTGAAAGGGACCTTGAAGAGGATCTAGTTCCAGTCCCACTACCATGGGCAGTGACACCGGCTACTAGACCAGGTAGCTCAATGCCACGCCCAGCCTGGCCTTGAACACTGCCAGGGATGGAGCATCCACAACTTCTCCAGGCAACCAGTTTCACACCACGCTCACAGTAAAGAATTCTTTCACTGTGTGAGTGGTGAAGAGTCAGTGTGGGTGTGCACGTGTTTTTGCATATGTGCCCATATACATAGTATAAGTATCTGTGTGTGTATGTGTGCACATACATGTGTGGGTATTCATATTCATACATGTGTGGAAGTGCACATTTTTTTGAACGTGTGTGTGTGCACAGGTGTGTGTGTGTGGGGTGTGTGCTCGAATGTGAGTGAGCACAAGTGGATGCTTATGTGGGTGTGTGCAAAGGTGTGCATCTGTATGTGTGTGCATTCAGGTGTGTATATGTGCCTGCAGGTGCATGAGCACCCACAGAGGTATGTGAGGGGGGGTGCATATTCTGAGCTGTACTTGTTTATATAGACCTTAGAGCAGCCTTCCAGTACCTACAGAGGGGCCTGGAGAGAGACTTCTGATAGGACAAGGGGGAATGGCTCTAAACTGAAAGAGGATAGATTTAGATTAGATATTAAGAAGAAATTCTTTTTCTGATAAAATTTTAAAAATTTATCATGTTGATATCTTATAATTACACACAGTCAGACTGTCAGTGCAACTCTCACAAGCTCCTTACAGGCCTGCCATTTTCAAACCCCGCTTGGGATAGATAAATCAGTATGAACCAGGGGAAACTCTACGAGTTACCATTGCCTTCATATCCCTTTACTTCCTCTGTTAGAAA